CCCCCCGATAGTGCCACTGCCTTTTGCATGTCCCATCGTGACACTTGGTTTGATACTAAAAGGACTCGGTCAAATCAGATACTGATACACACGATTTGCTTCATGTCATGATCGATGTGTTCAGAGCTATTGAGCATCGTCGTGTCATGATCCATGTATTTCAGAGTTTTACAAATTAATAATCGATACCGTGACTTTGAATTATGTCTGTGACACGCAATAATAATGCTCACTTGGGAACTTCTTAGTTATAGAACCAAAACCGCACATTTGTAAAGCCAAAACCTCTCCACTAATCCAGATAAGACAATAATTTTAAGAGGGGAATTAAACATAGAACCAAAAGCAAAAGCTCCAGGGACCACAGCACAAGAACGGTATAGACAAACAAAAAGAACTTAGCTTCTAATAATAACCCAGCAAATGAGTCGATAGATATACAACCAAGTTTCTGTTGTCTTTCATCTTCTCTTTCCTCGCACAACTGTAACTTTACAGCACACAAAATGGATTCCAAGCAGGACCCATCACCACTCTACAGCTCCTAAAGCTAGATTATAATATAGGAGGAGCTCTTAAAACAGGGATGACCTTATCAAGATTCTGCACGTGGAGTTTGCATGCAGCAAAACCAGTTTTTCTGCAATCAGTACATTCATGTCAAAAAAAAAACTAGATTGGCCCATGAGAATGTTTGTGAACAAAATTTAACTCCAATTAATTAATCTCATGAGATTATCATAGTTCTAATGATTCAGACAGTTGTTTCACCACTACATTTTACTGAGGCAGCAAGGAAATCATTCAGGGAACCATGCTTCATGTGAAATTTTGTTTTTCTTTACGATGTCTCTGTATCCTGTACCATCTAGGACGTTTAGACTTGACTAATAAGATAGAATGGGCTTTACATTGGTGATCTTAACAACGACCGCGGAAACGACAGATTAGGATCCTAGAGTTGGCCAAATTCTTGGGAAGAGTGGCATAATTATGATCCACCAAAACCTGGCAACCTATACTTCAATCTTTTAGTGCCTAGGTAGATAGGATGAAGTTGAATACTTGCAAATAGCGCTATTGCCACAGAAATAAATGGGAGTGGCAGTGGGCACCTATTTGATGCAGACAGTCATCTATTAAATGGGCAAGTATGCAACGCAATTGTGAACTTCAGACATCAATTTCATGAGGAACACTAGAGAGCAACTTACAGCCGGAGGCTTCATGGGATCCACTCCATTCCTAGTATTAGGTTCTGCCTTTGTTGGTGACTCGGGCTTCCCACCGTTCTTTTTGTCATCCCTAGCTTTGTTGAAGATTACAGTAAATCCTTCGGCTGAAGCAGGGTCATTCACATCCCATTCACCAAACTTTGGCAATGGCCGACCCTTCTCCTGTCCAATTGACAAATGAAAGGGAAAATACTTGTAGTTATAAATAAATCAGACAAAGACATTAAAGGTTCTATCCTTCAAGTTTTTCAACTCCCTGCAGCTTTCATGTAGAAGTACACCAAACAAATGCCTCAAAACAGAATTTGAAAGCAATATTCATTCTTATTGTAGTCCACCTTTCTCATTCTTCTCAATTTATCTTAGAATCAGGCATATACCTAGACAACAATAAGTGGAAATGATGTGCATGTCTAATGCATTGCACATAATTTTGAAAGCAATATTACTTCGTATTTCAGTCCACCCTTTTTTATGTTTCTCAATTTATCTCAGACACAGACATATACTTAGACAACAAGAATGAAATCTGATATGCATCTCTAATGTACAGCTAGTAAAATATTGGATCTACTAAAACCATATGTACAAAACCAGCATAAAATGTTTACCAGAATGTAACTCGAGGAAAATTTTTATAGAAAACAAAACCAGGGAGAAGACTATGCATGTTCTGTTGGATAAGGCACCATCTGATTGTGTTAGTAATTTTTGGTTGAAACATTTATTGGCAAGCACTCTTATGATACAGAGTTAGAACAAAAAAATTGGAGAGCTTGCAGTTAAACATAAACCGATATGTTGAACAAAGACCCACACCTTGCAACACTACAGCTTCTGGTACAACCCAATGTTGATGGCCAAAAAAACATATTCAATGTCAAGAATTACTAACATTCCGAAAATGGGAAAAAGGTAAATGGCCAGGTACTATCTAGACAAGCTTCAATATACTACAAAACAACCTTAAATCACAGGTAGTGGTTCCTAAATTTTGTATACCTCAAGAGGACATACCAACAATCTTGAACTTCGACATGGCAGGAGATCTTCATCAGTTGATCTTTTGAATTTTCAGCATTTGTTAACGATATAATCTGGTCTACTGCAATACAGTAATAGACAGCCAAGGCCAGACTCTGGGTTTGTTGATTTCAAAATTGCATGGATCTTGACCGGAATTAGGGTTGAGTAAATGGTACATAAGTTAGTTTAGTTCGGACCTTCTAAATTAGTTCCTCAGGTAAGCCAACTGCCACTGTATCGCCATTAATGGCTTGACATAAATTCAGGTCTTTAAATAGATTTACTCTACTGATACAGAGTTTCCTTCTGATGTAAGACAAGTTTTTGTTCAATCCGAAAGAAGTAAGAAGGCCACTGCCATATCATCATAAAGGCTTCACTCAAATTCGGGTTTGTTACTCCAGTGACAAAATCTCCTTACTGAACTAAGGAAAATCCTTGTTCAACCCAAACAAAATTTCATACACTTCTCCGAAAATTTCATACATTTCATACACTTCTCTGGACGTAACTATCACAACCAAGCCTCCACTCTGCTTCACTAGACACTACATTGTGATTCATCCACCAAATTTTCTAACTGCAATGCAAGTTCAATTCCTGTCCAACCCAAATAGGCATGATTCCCATCCCTTAATCCATCACAAATTAGGTTTTTTCAACCCCCGAAAAATAGAACCCACGTCAGAGAACATGTACAGTTATAAGTTGCACTCTCCACAGAAGCTTAGTGTGAGAAACTATAAAAATCCAACATGGAGGGTCAATTTGAACATACTCATATGATACTTAAATGTTTTTTGGGCCCGAGTAGTCAAACGAAGCTCTGCACCTATTCAATTCAGTTCTACACAAGCCTCACTACTCCTTGAAACAAAAGGCATCACAGGTATTGTTAGTTTTATTATTAATAGGATGCATGGGTTTCACTTGATGGGATTTGCAACATGTGGCACTCAATCCTCTTGTAATTCCCCCACTCTCTGACAAAATTGAAAAGCATAGTGTATGAACCATAGGGAAATAAGAGGATGAAGAAATCAGATACTAACAGCAGATCTGTTTTTTTTTTTTATTGGCTTGCCCAACTACTCCGGCTTAAAAAAAAAAACAGCACATGTGCTGAATTGATTGACAAACTCAGGCAACATAATTACCATCATATCAAAAAGTAACCCATAGATAGCTAACTTAGTGTAAGAATTGCACATGCTAATTCAATTGATCTAAAAGCCTGGACTTCAAAATATACAGAATCAGAAAGCGAGTTCGATTGCACATATCAATTCAATTGACCTAAAAGCCTGGAGTTCTAAATATACAGAATCAGAAAGTAAAGGTCGATTGCACAGTGATATTAATCGGTTAAAATCAAGAACTAATCAAAAGTATATATAAGTAATTGATAATTATGCCTCTGTGCTTCAAATCAAAGCAAACTCGCATCAAATACTAAAAGATCAAATGATCAAAATAAAACCATCCATTCAACACAAAATTCAAATTAACAAGGCCACGAGTAAACAAAACCGAAAAAAAAGGGAAAAAACAATAAATATAGTTTCACATCACCGTCAAAGAGCTGAATCAAAACCATCCAAGGACCAAAATATAAAACTAACGCTTAAAATAGGAATCCAGAAACTTTTAGAACCAGAAAACCGATACATACCGACATGAATTTACAACGAGAAAGATTTCTTGACAGAAAATGATCACCGCAGAAGACGAAAAGAGCGAGCGAGAGAGAGAGAAGGGGGGGGAGAGAGAGTCACCTGTACATGTGTGTGTATGTATATGTATATATAGGGGATTATATATAAAATATGGGGGTGGAATTGAAATATTTAGAAAGGTTAGTGGGGGGTTGTCGTTATTGGGTCACAGAAATGTTTCCACCATTATTTTACATGGGCGAATGGGTAGAAATTAGAATTGAATAATTTGGACGGTCCATCGTCCGTAACGTAACGTAACGTAACGTAACGGAACGGAACCATAATGTATGTGTTTCCCACTTCAACGGCAATTTGTTCATTTTTTCCGTCCCACACTTGGTTGGACGTCCTAGTCAAATCATATCGACGACTTTTTTTTTTTTTTCGTACCCACTGGACTTCTACTGATATTATAAAAGAGGGCCCACGTGGTTTATTTAATAGTTATCGTTTTTATTGTTACTAGGATTAATTATTGAGGATGTCAAACTAATTTTTTTAAATGATATTAAAAAATTATTAAATTTAAGTTGAGTTTGAATAATTTGATTATTTTACATATAAAGAAACTAATTTTTTACAAGCTTGAACAAAACTTTTAAGATTATTTTTTTAAATGAATATAAAAAATTATTTAAATTCGACTTATTTAAAAATTGAACTTTGCCCAAAATAACTCGAACCCTAGTTACTCGGGTTCTATTAGACCTTAAGATCGCATATTTGAATCTCATGATCCATCTCCTCAAACTTCCATCGATAATAATAATAATATATAAGAAATCAGAAATAATTATTTCATTCTATCACACGAATCTAATTGTAGACAACATAAATTCAAGATGACATAGTTTATTAATACTATTAATAAGTAGATTAAATTAATATGAATGCGAATAATTCCACTTTAAAATCATAAAACTAGTGTCAAGTAGTATTCTAGGCCAAAAAACTGCTTGATTTCCTTTAATTGGTTCACAAACTAAATCAAATTAAATAAAGTCTTATATCCCAATTATTTGAAGTCGATTATATAAATTTGTTTTCATCATTCCTTTCGATTATGCGTTATACGCTCATTTAAGTTAATATTTTCATATCTTTAGTTGGCTCATATAAGGTCTAAGTTACACATCTAAATCATTATTATTGATAAAAACAAAAAAAAAAAAAAAAANTTGGGTCACAGAAATGTTTCCACCATTATTTTACATGGGCGAATGGGTAGAAATTAGAATTGAATAATTTGGACGGTCCATCGTCCGTAACGTAACGTAACGTAACGTAACGGAACGGAACCATAATGTATGTGTTTCCCACTTCAACGGCAATTTGTTCATTTTTTCCGTCCCACACTTGGTTGGACGTCCTAGTCAAATCATATCGACGACTTTTTTTTTTTTTTCGTACCCACTGGACTTCTACTGATATTATAAAAGAGGGCCCACGTGGTTTATTTAATAGTTATCGTTTTTATTGTTACTAGGATTAATTATTGAGGATGTCAAACTAATTTTTTTAAATGATATTAAAAAATTATTAAATTTAAGTTGAGTTTGAATAATTTGATTATTTTACATATAAAGAAACTAATTTTTTACAAGCTTGAACAAAACTTTTAAGATTATTTTTTTAAATGAATATAAAAAATTATTTAAATTCGACTTATTTAAAAATTGAACTTTGCCCAAAATAACTCGAACCCTAGTTACTCGGGTTCTATTAGACCTTAAGATCGCATATTTGAATCTCATGATCCATCTCCTCAAACTTCCATCGATAATAATAATAATATATAAGAAATCAGAAATAATTATTTCATTCTATCACACGAATCTAATTGTAGACAACATAAATTCAAGATGACATAGTTTATTAATACTATTAATAAGTAGATTAAATTAATATGAATGCGAATAATTCCACTTTAAAATCATAAAACTAGTGTCAAGTAGTATTCTAGGCCAAAAAACTGCTTGATTTCCTTTAATTGGTTCACAAACTAAATCAAATTAAATAAAGTCTTATATCCCAATTATTTGAAGTCGATTATATAAATTTGTTTTCATCATTCCTTTCGATTATGCGTTATACGCTCATTTAAGTTAATATTTTCATATCTTTAGTTGGCTCATATAAGGTCTAAGTTACACATCTAAATCATTATTATTGATAAAAACAAAAAAAAAAAAAAAAACATTCTTATTAACTCAAGGCAACCCATTTATTTGACCAATTTACTAAATTCACTTGTTTACAATCCAATGTTAATAATTCTTATTAACTTATGCACATCTCGATTAATCTTCTCTATAATTTGATCAAATACATGTCATCTACATCGAAATAGGATGATTTTGATTTCGATAGTTACCTCCGCGTTTCTTGTTACTTGATTTTTTATTTTAAATTATTTCGTGATAAACCCAACAACTGTCTCTCTCTATATATATTTACAACAAGAATTTGCAACCATTCTGAATAAAACAATGGTGGTGGACATGACCGCCGTCACCCACTACCAGTCGAACCACAAAGAATAATCAATCAAACCCATAGATTAGAACAAAAAATTGTAAGCTTCTTAGTTCTTACACATATTTATTCATAAAAAATGCAAAAAAGAGTAGTAGGTTTGCAGGAACATATCACACATGAATAGATTGACTAACCAAAACCCAAGCCAACTTCATATATAATTAGTTGCCTTTAGAGCTCGTTACATAGTTTTTTCAATTTAAAGCATATCCCGGATAAGGATGGATCGAGTCCATGGGGCACCACCTACCCTAAAAAATTGTAAAAAAAAGATCATTGTCATACTACTATAAGCTATCCAAATTACCAAATGATGGAGTGTAATGCATGCTAAATAGTTAAAAGGACATGAATGAGTGCATCTAAATAGTAAGTCATAAAGGGTTAAGTCCACTACCTTCGATGTTGGAACTACACAAATTTCTTCTTGCGGGTTTTAGGAGTTGGGTGGGTGTCAACGATACATTATGTTGGGGCCATAGGAGGTAGAGTTCCTCGGCTCAGCAGAGGCATTGTTTCCACAACCATCTTGTTTCACACACAAAATGATGTTTTGTATAGAAAAACAATGTCGTTTTTGGAACAACACAGAATGCATTACTGTAGAGGTTCTCCACCCAGTCGAGGAGGCAATCAAGTTGAAGGCTGACAAAGGTTTGACTTGGCATCAAGTTACCTTTGATTGACCTGTACAAATTGCAGCATTGTTGCCACAGATATCTTGTTAAAGGATTCGCAAACCTCTGGAGACAGATCAGCAGCCCAAAGGCCTGCCATGCAGCTTGTATACTTGCTGTTGGCCATCAGATCATTCTCAACTTAACAAAGTCTTGTCCCAAATGCAAGCCTTCAGATCACAAACTACAAGAGAGAGGGGGTTAAAAAAAGGATCAAGGAAAAAGCCAAAGAATAAGGCAAACCATGAAACAAGTGCAAAGGCATGCCAACTCACAATTCCAAATTGCAGCTAAAGCTCTTTATAATAAAAAATACCAGTGGCATTCATTGAGATCTTTTAGGGAGTAATTAATAGGAGGTCAATAGCATTTATCAGATGGTTCCAGTGCTTCGTTTCTTCTGTGACTCTAATATTTCTACCACCGTTAATCTCACAGTAACCTTTTCCTCGAAACAAGTACATAAGCATGAACTAAGAGGAGGTTGACAGATAAAAATATCAAAACTCTTGCACATTAGGTAAGTCAATGATCACCAAATATTTGACTGAAATCGAACTATATGTAGTGTAGTACATCCATACCTTTTCTCCTCGTAGACAATTTTTTTCATCCAATCCCTGTTAGCCTCTTATCCACCACACGGTGAATGTCTTCTTCTTAGCTTTCTATTCATGAACCACATCTGAACAAGTAAAAACCAAAAGGTCATTGAATGCTGAATCTGAAATTGAGTAATGCATATAGAGGAACCATTCTGCAAACTTATCATATCTAAAGGCACTTTTAGCACAAAATTTGAGTAGGGTTTCCATAATGTAATTATAACTGAAGGGCTACAAAATCCTCCTTTCACCACAACCTGCTAGTTGAAGTTGACTATTCATCTCACAAACCAAACTAAACCGAACCAAGCCTTGTCCCAATTATTTGGATCAGCTCAAAGAATTCCTTCTCACCAGTCTGATCTGCCAAGGGCTATATCCTTTGCCAAATTATAAGTAATCATATCCTTCTTCTTTACTTCCTCACTCCATATTTTGGTCTAGCTTTTTCATTAACAGTTATCATGTTATTTTGCTTCACTAATGCACTGATTGGATTTCGTGCAATGTCCAAAACAATCTCAATTTATTTGTGATGAATTTTTGCTACTTTAGTTTACCTCACTCACCTAACACTATGCAATAATTCTACCTGATACTGTTCATCTCCTTTTGATACTGTAAATACTACCTTTCACTTATGTTTGTTGCCCCAAATTTCCTTTGTCAGGCATAGAAACATTGAATTCTCTGGGAGTGAGACACTAGCTAAATTACATAGAATTTTTATATCTATATAATAAAGTAGCTTATAATTCAAATCTCAAAAGATAAACAAAATGACTTTTGTTATTCACGGTTGAGATCGCTTTAAATTTTACTTTAAAGTTAATCTAACGACTAATATTAATGTCCTAAATTTAATAGGAAAAATAAGTCCCTAAGGGTGTGTGTTTGGAGCGACTTTTTAAAAGTACTTTTAAAAATTATTTATCATAAATACTTTAAAAAAAATAGTGTTTGAAACCGTCCCACCACTACCTCTACTACCACCACCCCCACCATCACCACCACCGTCGATGCCGCCCCCCCCACCACCATCACCACCGTCGCTGCCACCACCACCACCTCCCATCACCACGGTTATTGCCACCTACCACAACCATTACCGTCTCTTACCACTACCACTATCATTGTCGCCCACCACTTTTCTCACCCCCACTACGACTGACGCTTAGTTCATTTATTTTTCCTCTATATTTATGATTTGATTTTAGATATGAATACAAATATGTTTATTATTTACCATTTTTTATTACTTTGTGCCTTTAAGCACAAGCAATAACTAGTGTATAAATATCATCCCATTACCACGGAGTTAAAATCCCCGATAT